ATCTCTTGTTTAGTAAGTAACCTAAAAGATTACAAGAACAAGGAGGCTCTGATACCACTTGTTGGTCCCGTCTGTAATGAGAACAGTCTAGAGGGGGGGGGGGTGAATAGACTGTTCAGGAATTTAAACTTTTCTCCAAGTCAAGTCTGACTTATCAGAGATGGTCGAAATCTGGTGACAGAGATGGTCAAGTTCTGATGGCAGAACTAGGCCAGGCAGCGGATAAGTTTCTGTCCGGGTAGCCTCTAGAAGAAAGCTAAGGCAAAGTGCCTTTCTGATAACTCTGAAGGAAGATCTGCTGGACACAGAGTCCAACCTTAAGAGTTAGTCAGTAGAATCTTAAGTGCAGTAATTAAAAGCTTAAAGTAAATGACACCGGGTTTTTATAGTGGTTCAAGGAACAACTTGTTCCTCTAGTCCACTGTTCCACTAAGCTTGCAAAAACAACAGTTTACAACGCCTTAGTCCCTAGAGCTTAAGAAGCACTCCTCGTCTTCTTCAAGTCTAGTTGCCACCCGGGATGCAGTCCTGCTTCCTGATGGCTGGTCTCGTTTCACTGAGTCTCTTGAAGTATCTCCACTTCACTTACTCCAGCTAGTTTGAGACGTCCCTTCTTTTTCAAGAAGTCTTTGATATAAAATCAGTTTTCTCCAACGTTGCTTCTTCACAAAGGATAGGTATATGAAGCTTTCGAAGTGTTGAAGAACTGAGTAACTTTGCCTTTTGCTAGTTGGATGAAGGATAGGAAAGTTTATCTTCCAACTGTGGCCTTTTCTTGTTAGGAATGGAGTTTGAATCTCAAGAAGGCTTTTAGTAAGTTCGTTCGGCAGATATTGTGGCAAAGTTATCTTCTTAGTTCTTCAGAGTGTATCTTTTATACTGGGAGCAGTCTTCCCGTTGGAGTGTAGAAGACAGCTTCATTAAATGCATGTACTGTTGACTTGACCGTTTGGTCCTCCGACTTGCTATTTTGGGGGCGTAAAGATACTCGCATGGTCAATCATCAGCTTTAAATATCTCTTCGTACGTACAACATTAAATGTGCATTTAATGCGTGTACAGTGCCATGCTTCCGTTGAAAGGTTTGTAACCGTTAGGGGATTTCCCGTTAGTTTAACGACCGTTGGAAGGGCTTCCGGAATCTGGTGGATTTAGCAGAGTCGGAAGAGGTTCTCTGGTCCAATCTCTGAAGTCCGTCTCTGTTGCCAACACTGGTATCTTTCTGATAACCAGCTTCTGATGGCTTCTCTGGTGAGCAACTCTGGGAGCAACTCTGGTAGAGGCAAGATGGAACTCTGGCAGGCAGACTAAGCTAAAACTTACAAAAGAAATTCTAATACACAATTTCTAATGGGGTACTTTCAAATTCTAATAAACCTAGCATCATCAAAATCTAAATACATTTATTCCTTACAACTATCATAATATCAAAAACTCCCTTTATCTAGTTAGAACCAGGCCGTAACATCAAGAAACAACCCAAGTTCTTTAATTAAACTGGGCAAAACATTTGGGTTATTTAAATACTCAAAACTTCACAAGAGTTTCTAATCAAGGATAAACAACAACTCCATAACAACCTTATTATTAAGAAAATCCTTTAATTTTCCTAGAATAAGCCCTACATCAACCAACCCTAGCAAAATCCCAAACCAAGAACTATAAATACAAATATAGAAGAAATACTTCGTAAAATCCTACCAAGTGATGATCTTTGATGAAAAATAGGTTTAGTTTGGACTTGAATCACCTTATGAAGGGTTTTCGGATTGCTTGTAGAGAGAAGGACGAGTTCAGGTCGAAATTGGGGCTGAAAGGGGATTTTCCCGCTTAAAAACGATTTTGATCGACATTGCCCGACCGGATCGGCGCCAGTTTGGCCCTGACCGGCGCCGGTTGTGCTGTTTTTCTGTCGGCCAAAGTTCTGTTTTGGACTGGCGCCGGTCATGGTCCAACCGGCACCAGTCTGGGGTTTCCTCGGTGCCGAAAACGTCCTTTTTCGCCCTAAACCAACCCCGATCGTTGCCGATCCCATCCTAGACCCCGATGACATTTTAAACTATATTTTAAATACCCGAATACTATCTAACATGACAACTAACTTGATATACCATTACATTCTAAATACAAATGATTATTACGGTGTAGTTTCGTTGCTCATCGGATACCGTCACCTGTCACGTTTAAGCATAATACAAGCATGTAAGTTCAACACAATTACCACAAGGTATATAATCACATGGTATCCCTAAACTTACATGTATAATACACAAAATTATATGTTATGTCATGATCATATTGATTAATTACACACATAAAAAGTAGATAAAAAGTATGGGTGTTACACTAAGTCGTATTCCCGTTCTTCAGGGGTAACCAATATATCTGGTAGCACTGCTTCCTCATGCTCGGCGGATGGGAATGCCGAGGGGGACGTCATGCTTGTAAATGAGAGAGCCCAGGGGGATACCACCGAGGCTCAGCCGGCGGATTATGATTCTGGGGGAGAAGCTTACCCTGGCGATGACCTGACGATCTTCGACCGAGGCAACCCGAAGGATCTACCTCGACACGTGGTACCATTGTGGAACGCTCAGGGCTGCGAGCAGATGTTCTCAGATAGTGCTTTGAAAGATATTAAGTTATACTTTCCCCGTCGAGCATCTACAGCTTGCGAGGGGTAGAGCACCCGTTGAGAAGACATGCGGGGATGTTGATGGTTCATATGGATTCAATTAATCTGGGGATGTTGATGGCACCGGGGGAACCCCGGTCAGCCGAAAATGCCCCTTTTCGCCCTAAACCGACCCTGATCGTTGTCGATCCCATCTTAGACCCCCAATGACATTTTAAACTATATTTTAAACACCCAAATACTATCTAGCATGACAACTAACTTGATATACCATTACATTCTAAATACAAATGATTATTACGGTGTAGTTTCGTTGCTCATCGGATACCGTCGCCTGTCACGTTTAAGCGTAATACAAGCATGTAAGTTCAACACAATTACCACAAGGTATATAATCACATGGTATCCCTAAACTTACATGTATAATACACAAAATTATATGTTATGTCATGATCATATTGATTAATTACACACATACAAAGTAGATAAAAAGTACGGGCATTACACTGAGTCATATTCCCGTTCTTCGGGGGTAACTGGTATCTCTGGTAGCACTGCTTCCTCACGCTCGGCGGATGGGAATGCCGAGGGGGCCGTCATGCTTGTAAATGAGAGAGCCCAAAGGGATGCCGCCGAGGCTCAGCCGACGGATTATGATTCTGGGGGAGAAGCTTACCCTGGCGATGACCTGACGATCTTCGACCGAGGCAACCCGAAGGATCTACCTCGACATGTGGTACCATTGTGGAACGCTCAGGGCTGCGAGCAGATGTTCTCAGATAGTGCTTTGAAAGAGATTCAGCTATACTTTCCCTCGTCGAGCATCTACAACTTGCGAGGGGCAGAGCACCCGTTGAGAAGACGTGCGGGGATGTTGATGGTTCATTTGGTTTCAATTAAGGCCGGATTGTGATCCCCCCTACACCCATTTTACCTTGAACTGTTCCAACGTTATTAGGTCGTCCCCGGCCAGTTTATGCCAAATTCTTTTGAGTTCGTTTCAGCCTTCATTGTCTGGTGCAAGGACAAAAACGTTGACCCGAGCCTTGTCCTTTTTCACTATTTTTATAACAAGTGTATGGTTAGTAAAAGGTAGTTAGAATACTTAATGTAAAAGAAGTTCGAAACGTAAAAAAATAGAGTTAATTATCAAAATAGGACTAAAAGTAATTCACTTTTCACAAATAGGACCAAAAAATAAACTATGTTTGCATAGGACTAATTATGTGTACCTTGGACAATTATACCCTTATAGCTATGTTTTAATTCCTAATAAAATAATAAAAAATAATAAAAATTCGTAAAAAATACTAAAATATTAAGAAAAACATTTTGATATTAAAAATTTAATTTTTTTTTTCAAAAAAATAAAAAATTTAAAAAAAAATTAAAAATAAATAAAAACTCAAAAAAAAAATCACCGCCGCCTCAGCCGCCTCAGCACCACCACCTCCAGTCACCAGGGGAAAAAAATGCCAAGTTCATTACGAATGCCATATTTATGGCAGAAAAAAATGAAAATGTTGGCATTCGAAAAGAGAAATATCCCACTTTTTTGGCATTTTCAGAAAAAATGACATTTTTCTGGAAAAATGGCATTTTTTTCATCGGCCGGAGGTGGTGGTGCTGGGAGGTAGTACAGGCGGTGGGAAAGGCATCCATATTTTTTTAAATTTTTTTTACAGAGTTTTACTATTTTTTATTATATTTTTTAAAAATAAAATTATTTAAAAAAAAAAGTTTTTGAATTTTTTATTTTATAAAAATTTATAAATTTTTTAATTATATTTCTACGAATTTTTGAATTTTTTTCGAATTTATTATGAATTAAACATTTAATTATGACTTTTGACTATTTTTAATTCATATTTAATGGAAGGGTAAGAATGGAATGCAAAAATAGGTATGTTTCCAACTCATATGGTCCTATTTTGGAATAAAAACATAGCAAGTCCTATTTTAGGTTTTTGACATAATTTTAATCGTATTTGAACTAATTTCTAAAAAAAATAATAAAACATTAAAAAAAAGGAAAGTAAAGATTTAAATGAGGCACCAATTAACAGGGACACAAATTCAAGGATTGACGGACATTAATGACAATCAACTCGTTTCTCCGGATCAAAATAACAATCGCGTACTCACCCAACTCGTTCGTCCGACTCAGCTATGTGGAGGAGATGCTCTCTAAGTTTCTCATCGAAACTCGTTAACACATCCAACTCTAATCATTCTGTTCGTGTTCTTCGTGCATCTTTAGCACACCATCGGCTTCTGATCCGTCCCAGTTCGACGGCCGCCAGGTCGAAATCAACATCGCAGGCCGATTCGGTCAAACTAGGGCTTACGTCTTCCACATGGAATCATAACTGGTCTTCGACATCAGCCGTCAACTTGTCATCGTTAGCTTCTGCTTCGGTTTTCAAGAGTGAGGACGTGCTCGACTTTGCCAAACACTATGGGCGCTGTTATTGGGAGCTCTCTAAAGCTCGTCTGAGGTTAATTATTGTGCTAGATGTTTTCTTTGTGATTTTTTATGTATTTATTTTTTCGAACAGTTATATCTGATTTAATAGGTCTTTTTTCCGCAATATTTCATTGAAAAGGCCTCCTTTCTTGTATGGAGTACGTATTAGTGATCATCTTCATCATTTTAGGCAGACTCTTCCAAATGGGCATTATAACATTAGCCAAATCCATATTGATGAAGAACATAATTTTTTTTTCAATATTTTTTTTCAATATTTTTTTTATTGCTGCAACGTTGTAAATTATCAATGCTGGTTTGGAGGAGAAAGGTTCTCACCTGATTAATTTGTGCCTTCTTTTGTGCATCGCTGCAGCATGTTAGTTGTAGCCACATCTGGCACGGGATACGTTCTTGGCAGTGCCGGAGCAATTGATTACACAGGTCTTTGGGCTACATGTGCGGGCACCATGATGGTTGCGGCCTCAGCTAACTCCTTAAATCAGGTTCGTAAATGAGTCTTAGGGGCTGTTTACTTTTTTTTTTAAGTCATGTGCGGGCACCATGATGGTTGTACTACATCCGTCCCATTAGGAGGTTCCAATTACGGTTTACGGTGCTTGACTGACGATAAAGCAACCTAATTCTTGCTCACACTCTGATTATTTTTAGTAAATAAAATTTACATATTCAAAAATTACATTAAAACCGCTACAAAGCCTGGTAAAAAATGTAAATTTGATAAAAAATTGATATATAAAGAAAAATATTTAAGTGGAGGGAATGATTTAAGTTGACCATGTGAATAGTGGAGGGAACCTTTGAATGGGACGGAGGGAGTATGTGTGGATTAAGTGGGGTTTATATATGAGGCTGTATATTTTGAGTGCTGAATAAACAATCTGAATGGAGTAAAATAATCATTCAATTGAGTAAAATAATCATTTAGTATTATTATTGGGTTATATTATCAATGAAAATTTTCATTTATTAACTTCAATCTATTTCATAATCGATTTTAAAAAATTGACTGAATAGACGTCTTAATGGGAAGGACTACTATATTGCAGCTTAATAAACTAAATCATTTTGTTGACTGAATAAATAAGTCGCTTTCAATTAATTCGTAAGTAAATATGACTCAATAGCTCAATAGTTAAGTCATTATTCTCATTAAGTCCATTAAGTCGAAAATAAACAAACCCTTAGCGGTTTAAATATTCAAATAGAGATGTGCTAAACAGCTAGAATCTAACCATGCTCTTTTTGTTAGAATTGACATTACTGATGTTTTGAAGTGCATTAAATATTGCCTTTTGAACATTGACATCCTACATAAACCACTTAATCTTTCATCAATATTATTTCTTGCAAAAAAGGCCTTGCTGGATTATAGCGGGGTGGATTTAATGTTTAAAAATAATAACATAATCTGCTTTGTAGAAAGAAGAATTTGGAGAATATGGCCATGAGTGAACAATGGTCATAGATACACTTGTCTCACAGCCTTTGTTTGGTTGGGGGATTCTAGGCATGAGCGAACGGGAGGGAGCATTTATTTTATTGATCTATTCTTACATTTAGATGATTGTAAAAAAGTGAAGATGAAAAGTTATATGGAAATAAATGATATAATATGTAATATACGGAGTATTTATTTTCTAGTCCCGAGTCCCGACTCACAAATAGAGATAAGTTAGTTAACAATAATCAGTCCTTCCAATCCCCACCAACATCCCTCAACTAAACAGGCTCTTACTTGCTGGTCGTTTCCACTTGCACCTTCCAAGCTGATATAATTTATATGTGTGCTTGTCTAGGTGTTTGAGGTGAAAAATGATGCAAAAATGAAGAGAACACAACAAAGACCATTACCTTCAGGGCGGATTAGCATACCTCATGCCCTTTTCTGGGCATCTAGTGTTGGTGCAGCTGGCACTGCTTTGTTGGCTTGCAAGGTGACCAGACACTCTAAGCTAATTTTTAATGCTATTGGAGTATTTGTATATATCTATTATTTTTTGAGTGACTGATGTTTCTATACGTATGACAAGGTTTTTACAGGCAAACATGTTGGCTGCTGGCCTTGGTGTTTCTAATCTCTTTCTTTACGCATTTGTGTACACTCCTCTGAAACAAATACATCCCATCAATACATGGGTTGGCGCTATTGTTGGTGCTATACCACCACTTCTTGGGTAATTTTTACTTTTTTTTCCTGATCATTTAAAAGTTAAAAAGCTTCAATTTTATTGGGCAATATGCGGTTTTGGATATCATTGCAATTGATGTGTATCAGTGTATGCCACACTAATTCCTTTGGCTGGTCTGAGTTGTATCTTCATCCTGCTTGCATAGGCATTCAAACATTCAGCTACCTATCTAGATATTTCTATACCCTAGTGTGTGTCTGATATCCCTTAAAACTTAGGATTTGAAGGGGTCTGGTTGGTGGGTGTGTCACCCGCCGGTGAGACATAACTATGTAAGCTTTGTATCTAAGAAAACTGAACGAGAAAAAAATGTTAACAATATAGCGCTCTTACCGTTGTAGTGATGGACAACATATATAATTGGACATTAATATTTCATTATGCTAAAATAGATCTGTTTTCAAATTATATCGTTAATGATGGAAACTCATTTTAATTCAAGTTGTAGTACAATGATGGCTCTGTGTAATTTCCTTACCAATTTTTTTTTTGTTTTAACTTGTGACTATTTTACACTGTTTATGTTGGAAGTTCTTTGATGTCTTTACTACAACAACAACAACCTCCAAGCCTTATTCTCTAAAGAGTTTGGGGTGGCTAACATGAATCGATCTGATGAAAACAGGAAAATAAAAATCAACGGGGTAAATCTTTGCCCAGATAATCAACGATAAAAACCGTTGCCCAAAGCCAAAAGGCTAAACTCCAATTTTATTCATAGATAAGCAAGAATGAACCTTGTCAAGGGGTATAAATAGCCTTCTAATAAGAGACTCAACCGAAACCCTAATCGAGCCCAAATTTATTAAACCCTAATTTGGCCCTAATTAACTCTACTAACTACTCTACTAATAATAGGCCCAAACTAGAAAACATAACACAAATTTTATAATAATAAATAAAACTATAATCCTAGCCCACAACCAGCCCACGAAGGTGGGCCCAAGCCCATTCCTGCTCCTTGATCTCTATTCTCTCTATCGATCCATCCTCCTTTGAAACAACCTTGTCCTCAAGGTTGAAATCCGGAAACCGGCTCACATTTTTCCCCGGGGGCTGCCCAATATCTTTAGGAAAGCTGCCACTCGATCCTTTCAGCCCATTCATACCCCAAATAATGATCGTCAGATAGCCTTGAGACCTGACTTGTTAGTTGAACAAAAATTGAGATGCACTCCTCCACAGTCCTTGTCTGCTTGACTCCAGATAGCCGTTCAAAGTGATTGCCCTTAAATCGCGAGTCATAATGAGCCATCAACGCATTTGTAAGCTCATCCCATGACATGCCCGACTTTCGTGCCTGTAACCAGGTCAATCAATATAGGGCTGACCCTTCCATCACAACTACAATGGCTGCCACCTTCTTTCTAGGTGGAGTACAATTCAGTTCGAACTTTTGCTCAGCCCTAGCAACCCAACCGATCAGGTCTTCTAACAGGTGCGTACAACAACAACAACATCCAAGCCTTAATCCCAAAAGAATTTTGGGGTCGGCTAACATGGATCGATCAATGATATCGATGCCAAACAGAGAAGATGGACAAGAAAGGGAAGAAAAAAAGTAAGATAAAATGAATAAAATAAAGATAAATAAATATAAGATAGAATAAAAGATAATAAAAAGAGCATAAAAAGCTAGAATATAAAAATAACATAAGAATATACAAAGATAAAGAAGATAAAGGATAAAAGGAAAAATAGAGGAAAGGTAGAAAAGACATCAATCGTCCGCACGGATGTGCGTCCTCCACTTTGCTCTCTCCAAAGTCATACTCTCATCCAACCCAAGAAGACGCATATCAGTTCTGATTCCTCTAATCTAAGTCTGTTTGGGTATTCCCCTCCCTCTCTTCTCTGCTTCTTCTCCCCACCCCTCAAGTCGTCTAACAGGTGCATGTGAAGAAAAAATATTGAAAACGAAAAACATGTTTACTAGTTTAGTTTCCCGAGTTTGGAAAATGAAGTATTTGCTCTAATCCTTATTTACCTTTCGCTATGTTTGGATCTGAGCAAGGGCATGTGAAGAAAAAATATACTAAGAAAATGCTTTTTGTGTTTGGCTATACGTGCAAAAAATGAAGTTAAATCAAAGTTGAGTAAATTTGGTGAAAATATTTAATTTTCATTGCCTTTATATGATAGAAATATTTCAGAAAAATGAGTTTGAACAAATGTTTAAAACTTTTTGGCTTTTTGCTATGCTTGGATTTCAGAAAGGCAGGAAAAGAAAAATAATACTACCTCCATCCCAAAATGATGGTCCTGTATTTCCTATTTGGGCCGTCTCAAAATGATGGTCACGTTTCCCCTTTTGGCAAAAAAAGTAGATTACCATTTATACCCCTCCTTTTTATGAATAGTAAAGGTAAAGGAGTGAACTGTACAATAAAGTAAGGTTATATGAGTCATTCTACCACTCTTTCTTAATATTTGAGCCCAAAAAGTGTAGGACCATCAAGTAGGGACGGAGGGAGTCCTACGTAGTTGGGAACTGGTTTTTAATGTTCTGTTTGACCTTGGGAAAAAGAAGTCAAAGTTGATTAAGAGTTTAAAACTATTGAACAGATGTTTAGAGCTCTTATTCCTTATGTGATAGAAATATTTAAATAAATTGAGTTTGAAGTTTGAATTTCTATCTAAAATTGATTTATTGAGTTTGAAGCATTTTTTTTCTTTTACCCAAATGTTCTTTCTTCAAATTTGCTCTGTTTTCTTCCTTTCCATTTTCAAGCCAAATGAACCCTTGCTCTTCCAAATTTGGGAAATGCTTCCTTGTGTATACCAAAATAGGAAATTGAAAAATCACAGTGGCTTCCACACTCATAGTTAACCACAAGCTGGCCACAGCTGGCGGTTTCCAACTTTGAGGTGGTCAGTGGGATGGTAGCAAAGTGGTAACTCTGTAATTATGCTCTGTTTTTTGAATTAAAAACTGTTTGAGAAAAGGACACTTCCTAAACGTATTTCGGGAAGAAAAGGACATTGGAAAAACTGCATATCCGGTTCACTTTCCTAACAATTCGTTTGCTTCCTTAGGTGGGCCGCAGCATCTGGTCAAGTGTCACTCAATGGCTTCATTCTTCCGGCTGCTCTTTATTTTTGGCAGATACCCCACTTCATGGCCTTAGCATACTTGTGCCGCCAAGATTATGCAGATGGAGGGTATTAGAGCCTGCCCTTAAATTTATGATTATTGTTAATAATTAATAAATGATTCAACTGCCTTATTAGGTTCTTCAGCATCCTCACTTATGTTATTCTTGTTTTACTGTAACTTAGGTTTAAGATGTTTTCCCTGGCTGATGCTTCTGGTAAGAGAACAGCTTCAGTTGCCTTTAGGAATTGCCTTTATCTACTACCACTCGGTTATCTAGCCTATGACTGTGAGTCAATTTTTCAACTTCTGGTTCATGTATATGATTATTGATAAATAATTTCAAGCCTGTTTGGGGTGAGTTGTGCTAAAGTGGTTTTATAAGGAGTGTATTCTCATTTACATACTAAACATGTTTTTTCCTTTTCAAAAGCGATTATTCGGTGCTCTCTTGAATAGTGTGCTTGGTAAAAACTTATGTGCTACTGATTACATTGTCCTTTTTACAAAAATAGCACCACTTATCTCTATAATCAAAGTTCTGCACAGAGAATGCCCTTCAAATATTTGGACAAAAATAAATACTCAAACAGCCAGTTTTACAATATACTTATAGCACCAATTGTACTTTTCACCCAGCCTAACAGCTTCGTGTACCAATTAAACCAAACAGATCCTATATGACGACAAAAATAGCTTTCTGAGAATCAAACAGCAGTTTGTTACTTATGTATTTCCTTGCCAAACACTCATTTTAAAAGTAAACATACTGCAAGTCCTATAAAAAACACTTGTGTATTATCTTGGACATGTTTTTCTCCTTTTCTTTGGTGAATAATTTAATCACAAAATTTGATAATGCACAAAAGTGATGTTGATTTAACCTCATATTGTTATTGCAAACAGGGGGCTTAACCTCAGGGTGGTTTTGCCTTGAGTCCACATTCCTCGCACTTGCCATCAGCAGCACAGCGACGACATTCTTTTTCAACCGCACAACAAAAGATGCTAGGAGGATGTTTCACGCCAGCCTTCTCTACCTTCCCGTCTTCATGTTTGGCATTCTCCTTCATCGTTTAGACAATAATAACGACCAACAGGTAACCATGAAGAATACAGATACTGAATTATTCATGGACCGAAAGAGAGAGAAGTACTCAGCCAGTGCTCATTCTCGCCCACCCGTTGCATACGCTTCGGTTGCCCCCTTTCCTTTCTTGCCGGCTCCTTTATATGCTGAATCATGACCTCATCAGTTTTTTTGTATGTATTCTTATTATTACACCCCATCTTGAATAAGGGTCATATTTGTTGCACATTATTTTTAATATTAGAAACATATTACTTTTTTATATTGGGATTTGGACATGAACTTATACACTCTAAGAGTGTTCCACAGTTGCAATAAGGTTGCAACTATCTTCTCTTGCAGACTCGGGATTTTGTATGGACATTTTTTATTCCCACTGTACTGTAATTATTATATATTTATACCTCACTTTATACGTAGTATTTATTAAAAATAAAACTCAAAATGTTGAAAATGTTCAACAAACTCGATCTCTTTATGATCAATTGTTATATTACACAATTCAATGAGTAAGAACATGAATAGTTACGAGTTACATAAGCATTACACTCATTGTTGCATGTGGTACAAGCATAGATGCAATCGAGCTTTTCTTCTTAATAATTATATTCCATTCATTTTTTAGCTTGTTAAATTTTGTATATGTATTTATGGTTAAGTATTTATTAATTTTTGAAATTATATTTTTATGTGTTAGTGGTTTAACGATGAAACACAATAATATAACAAAGTCATACTATCGATTCTTATATCGACTCTTCTAAAAATTTCTAGAACCAAATCGATATAGGATTAATGGTTCTTCAAATGGTTCCTAATTTTCTTTCAAGAATTGAACCGATCTCACCCTACATTTTTTGTAAGATGACATATAAAATATTATTTTTTAATTTTTTTAAGTTTATCTTGTGTATCAGTATCAATGTAGAATCTTCATGTTCAACTTTATTTATCGTAAAATGATAAAAACATCAAAATTTATTGAGACCATCCCGGTATCCACCTCCCGACTTGACCGATACTAGCCTTAGACTTGTTGGTAGGGTTGTGATCCCGGGTAAATAATTAGGCAAATCTGCAACCAGATGTATGCGTACTTGTGACGAGTAGAAAACAACAGAAAAGTCCACGTAAATCTTTGGTGAAGAGAAGAGACAATTGCAGAGAATTAATGAACTAAGAATGAGTTAGTCCATGAGAATTCATAATTTTAGAAGGCAATAAGAATGAACGGAAGTTTAAATATGCCTAAACTTTTACAAATTTTTAAAAGTCTACATTGAATACACCTAGACCTTTGTAGACTTTTAAAAATCCACATTGAATACACCTAAACTTTAAAATTCATGTTCTTTTAAAATTTTGTCACTAAGTCCTAATACAATACACCCCTTCCTTTGTTCTTAAATATGCAAAGATGTAAATCAACCATTTCAGCTCACTAGGTGGAAGGTTACTGTGTACTAGCGGATGTCTCAGGTTCGAATCTCACTAGACACATTTAGGGGAGAGGAGAGAGGTCTTGCTCTCGAGTAGATTCTTCAGGTATGTCCTGCTGGATTGGTTAGATCCGGATTAATCTACTAGGGGATGTAGCCTTAGCACAGACACTGGATTATCAAAAAAATATATGCAAAGATGTATTTGAGCAAAGGATCTTCTTCTGAAGTTATCATATTGAGAGAGGGATGGCGGTGAGACAGAAAGCAGTGGCAGCGCTGCCGACGTTGATGCGAGCTTTGCGGAAGGAATTCCCGAAGCACAATAATTCGCATCCAATCCAACCATTGCCGTCACTCAGGCGAGCATTCTCCCTCTACGACCAAATCAACCTCATAGATAACGTTCCTGAAGATCAACTTCGTTTCCAAGAGTATTTTCCTCTTTTCCCTTCATTCCTTAACATTTGTTTTTATCTGGAAAATATAACTTCAATTTTTTAAAGAGTTGAACCTGAAATTCATATTTCCTCAAGCTGATATTTCTCAGATGAACTGGCATCCTGTTAATTTTTAAAATTTAAAGTTTAAAGTGCCAAGTTCGCAATCAGTATTTTACTTCAAATTTTGAATGACGGTGTTAGTAGGGTATCTATTCTTGTCCTCATGATGTAGATATTTTTAGTGAAAAATGTTGTTAACAAGATCATAATTATCAATCAAACTTTGTTTTTCAAATATCAGTTAGTTAGCCTTAAGCTTTATTTTCTTCCCTCCTCTGGCAATATCTATCCCATTTCACTCTCCATCGCTTATACATCTCCCAAAAGTTAAAACATTTCATCATCTTTATTAGCCATGGTTGTCTTCAGTAAATTAGCCGCCTTTGAAAAGAGATGCCTTTGTAAATAGCAGAGGTGGGAGAATTATTAGCAAGCATCATACGTAACTTATAATGATAAAGGAGAAGTGTTTTGGCTTTTAAGAGATGATATTTTAGATGATACCTGTATTCATTAGATTTGACTCTCAAATGGAGTTAAATGTGATACATTATAATGCAAGGGTAATGTTTTGAGAATAATCAAAGAGGGGGAAGTAATTAAATTTTGAAACTACAAGGTTGAAGTGGTAATTATGACTTAACCTCAAGGAGTAACTGAAATCTTTCCATTTTCCAAGTTTATGAAATCCTACATACTCACACATGCTTTGCATCTCTATCGTTATATTCCTGAATTAGTTCATGTAGCTTCTCAATTTCTTGGAATTATATGCTTTATTATGTAGGTTCAGTGATACTGGATTCAAAGTCAATGGAGTGCATTATGATGGTAGCCTGCTTTGTGTTGGGAACTTGCTAATGTCTTGGAGTCCCAAGAAATTTTCTGATGTTACTCCTGAGAGGTACTCATCTTCAACCTTACATCTTAAAAGAAGGTACTTGACCCGATCTTTCATCAGTGATGGATTCGCCCTTGTTAAAATTTCACTAATCAGCATAATGTAAACATCAGCAAGTGATTTTTACATTTCGTAATGACACCTGATAAAGTTTGGTCAAATTCTTTAAAAACTAAGGAAAGTTCTGCAGGCCTAAAACACACTCATTTCTCTAGAATTAAAGAGGAAAGTTCTACTCTGTTTGGTATAAAGTTTTGATCAGGCTAGAAAGCAGTCTATACTATAGACTCTATAGTGCATTTTTTCCCCTAGTTCAGGAAGAAAGTAGATCTAGCCTGGGTGGGGGGGTCAAAGTACATCCTGGGCTGGACAAAGACTTCAAAGTAGCTTTCCATGGAGTTCCAGTACAAATTATTAACATACAACCGAACATGTTAATTGATTTTCTCCAATAAAATTTTTACCTAGAATTTTTCTTTGGGAGTTACTCTGCCTTGAAACTAAAATAAGGGTAAAATGGAAAATACAATATGTTAGGAACCAGAATATCACCAAACAGTTTCCGTATTATTAGCAATGGAGATTGAGGAATTCTCAATACTCCAGACTGATTACAGGGAAGATAAAGAGAATAACAACCAAATCTAGAGAAGGAACAAGGAGTTTCTCTCTAGCCAAAGCCCAGCCATTTCTAACTGAATACCAGCCTGCCCTCCCCTATTCCCCTCCCTTCCTTATATTCAGAAATCAAACCAGCACATTAATTACTCCTGCCCCCTCATTCCCCTCCTCACATAAACTCCCGTCCCTTCATTCCCCTCCTCACATAAACTCCTGTCCCTTCATTCCCCTCCTCACATACACTTTATTAAAATACTCTACACCCCTTGTGCTATCATTACCCTCCCCTTGAACTACCACCTTGTCCCCAAGGTGGAATGTTGGGAACTGCTTCTGAAACTTGTTTAAATCTTCCCAAGAATCCTCAAAAGCTGGCAGCTGCTTCCAATGAATTAGCACTTCCTTCTCCCCATTAGGATTTACTCTGTAATCCACCACCTCTTCAGGCTGTACTTGTAACTCCCACTCTTCTGAGATGCAGGTAGGTAGGGGCTGGCAGGGAAGGTTAGGAGATACTGCCTTCTTCAGCAAAGAGATATGGAACACTGGATGCACTGTGCAACCCTCGGGTAGTTTCAGTTTGAATGCCACAGGATTTATTTTTTCTATCACTTCAAAAGGCCCATAGAATCTTGGGCTTAACTTCTGATTCATCCTTTTAGCTAGACTTTTCATTTTATAAGGCTGAATTTTTAAGAATACCTTGTCTCCCACCTCCACTTGTAAGGGCCGTCTATGTTTGTCAGCCTGCTGCTTCATCCTGTTTTGGGCCATAGCTAAACTGCTCTTCAATTCTTCTAGCATTAAATTCCTCTCAGCTGTCAACTTGTTGACTTCTTCTACTGATGTCACAGTTACATCTCCCCTCACAATAGCGGGAGGATCTTGTCCATATAAGGCCCTGTAGGGGGTATTCTTGATAGATATGTGATAATTAGTATTGTACCAATATTCGGCCCATGAGAGCCATTTAGGCCACTGTTTAGGCTTCAATCCAGTGATACATCTCAAGTAGGTTTCTAAACACTTGTTCACCACCTCCGTTTGTCCGTCAGTTTGAGGATGGTAAGCTGTGGAGTACTTCAGTTTGGTGCCTGCCATCCTGAACAATTCTGACCAAAAAGAACTCAAGAAGACCCTATCCCTGTCAGATACTATGGATTTAGGGAATCCATGTAATCGTACCACCTCCTGAACGAAGACTTCTGCCACCTCCTTGGCTGTGTAAGGATGTACAAGGGCTATGAAGTGGGCATATTTGGTTAGCCTGTCCACTATCACCAAAATTGTATCCTTCCCTTGAGCCTTGGGCAACCCTCCAATAAAATCCATGCTGATATCTGCCCCATATTCTGTCAGGGATGGGCAAAGGTTCCAATAATCCTGCTGGACTGAGGGTCTGATACTTGTTTCTTTGGCATACTTCACATCCTTGCACATATTCTTGTATGTCCTTTCTCATGCCAACCCAATAGAATAAACCAGATACTCTCTTCATAGTTCTGAAGGCCCCGGCATGCCCTCCAATTGCAGAATCATGGAATTCTTTCAAAATTAGAGGTATTCTAGGAGATTGCTTAGGTAGTACCAATCTTCCTTGATAATACAATAAGCCATTTCTGAACTTGAAATCTGGTATACTAGCTGGATTTCCTATCACTCTTTGTATGATATTCTGATATCTCTGATCTGCCTTCAATTCCTCATCTAGCCCTTCCCACTCTTGACAGGTAACAACGGACAAACTGTGTATACTACCCTTCCTGGAGAGGGCATCTGCTGCCTTATTCTCACTGCCGGGTTTGTACTTAATCACAAAATTGTATCCCAAAAGCTTGGCAACCCACTTTTGTTGTTCTTCCCCCATTATTCTCTGTTCTGTTAGAAACCGCAGGCTTTTCTGATCCGTGTGCACCTCGAAGACCCTGCCTAATAAATAGGGTCTCCATTTTTGTATAGCCAGTACGATTGCCATCAATTCTCTTTCGTACACCGATTTATTCTGGTTCCTCTTAGATAAAATCTTACTCATATAAGCCACAGGTCTCCCCTCCTGCATTAAAACTGCTCCTACACCTGTCCCGGAAGCATCTGCCTCAACCACAAAAGTCTTTGTAAAATCCGGAACCCTGAGAACAGGTAGAGTTGTCATAGCTTTCTTTAAGTGTTCAAAGGCGTGAGAAGCCTCGGGGTTCCATTTAAATGCATCTTTCTTTAATAGGTTTGTTAGGGGCGCTGCAATCTTACTATACCCTTTTACAAACCTCCGGTAGTAACCTGTTAGGCCCAGAAATCCCCTCAATCCTTTGACTTCTTTAGGTTCGGGCCAGTCCAACATGTCCCTAACCTTCCCCGGGTCAGCAACTACTCCTTCCCCAGAAATTATATGACCCAAGTAGGTCAGTTGTTTCTGCCCTATTATACACTTTTTAGGATTAGCATACAACTGGTTGTCCTTGAGTAACTGTAGGATGGTACTCAAGTGTTCTTTGTGTTCACTTTCTGAAGGACTGTAGATAAGTATGTCATCAAAAAATACTAAAACAAACTTCCTCAAATACTTCCTTAAAATCTGATTCATCAAAGCTTGAAAAGTGGAAGGAGCATTTGTTAATCCAAAAGGCATTACCAGGTACTCGTAATGTCCTTCATGCGTTCGAAAAGCAGTCTTGTGTCTATCCTCTTCTTTCATTCTGATCTGGTGGTAGCCCGATTTCAGATCAAGCTTAGAGAATACCGTGGCTCCTCCCAATTCATCTAGTAACTCTTCAATTATGGGTATGGGGTACTTGTCAGGCACTGTGATCTTGTTTAGGGCTCTGTAATCTCCACAGAACCTCCAACTACCATCATTCTTTTTAACCAAGAGCACAGGACTACTATACGGGCTGGTACTGGGCTGGATAATCCCTGTATTTAGCAACTCCTTCACAATTTTCTCTATCTCATCTTTCTGGTAGTGAGGGTACCTGTAGGGTCGTATGTTAGGTATTTCAGCTCCTTCCCTAATGTTGATAGCATGATCACAACTTCTTTTAGGTGGTAACCCTGCTGGCATTTGAAAAACCTCCTTATGCTTGTCCAACACGTCCTGCCAAAATCCTCCTGATGCAGCCCCATTAACAGATTCACCCTGAAGATTCCCACAGGTCACAAAAAAACCTTGGCCTTCATTTTTAATAGCCTTTACAAGTGCTTTCCAGGAAACTTGCACTTGATTTAAAGTTGGATCCCCTTTTAGGCTCTTTATTTTCCCGTCTTCCCACCACTGAAGTGTGAGATCCTGGAAATTGATCTCTACATTCCCCAAACTGGCAAGCCATTCAACCCCAAACACTAAATCTGTCCCTCCCAGCTCCAACAGGTAGAAGTTTTGTGTAATATTAAGGCCTTGCACCCCAACCTGCAATCCCACACACCTCCTATTGTTGCTCACTCTGTCCCCATTACCCAATTCCACCTGAAATCCATCAATTTGGATGTATGGCAATTGTAATTCCTCCACTATGGCTTGTGATATGAAATTATGGGTGGCTCCACTGTCAATCAGGATCAACACAGATCTGTGTAACCCCTTTTCCATCAATTTCCCTTCCAACTTGAAAGTCTTCTGTGTAGTGATCCCTTGTTTGCTCATGGTTGACAGTTGCATTTGTTGCGGTTCTAGGGAGATATCTGTCTCTTTCAAATTCACTTCTGAATCCATAGTATCTGCTTCTTCTTCAGGCCCCTCTGTGAGAATAAACTGGTAGTATTTCATTTTGCACACATGATCCTTGCCCCATCTTTCCCCGCATTTGAAACATAGCCCCTTCTTGCTTCTGTCTTGTAATTCTGCTTGTGTTAGCCTCTGGCCACCCTTCCAGTTATTATTGAGATCCGGTTTAACTCCCACCTTAGGCTCAACTCCCGATTTTTCTTGAGACGCTTGAATATTGGTTTGGGATCTCCATTTGCTGCCATCTATCCACTGTTGTGGTTTCTTCAGTGCCTCTCCCTTCTCCTTTCCACTCCTCTGGTCCCCCTCCTTGTATTTTTCCCCTCGAAATGCAGCATTCTTCCCTTCTAACACAAGCGAGATATCCATCAGTTCAGGCAGAGTAGCATTTGGGTACAATTTGAGTTCAGCCTTCACCTCTTCCTTCAGGCCATTAAGGTAAATTCCTTTGAGTATTTCCTCATCAATATGCTTCATTGGACCTACCACCAGTTCAAAACGTTCTCTATATTCCATTACCGATCCAGTTTGTTTAATGCTTAGCATCGGTCCATAAGGATTCTGCAGCAGTTCTGGTTGAAATCTCCGTATTAGTGCTCCTTTAAATTCCTCCCATGATTTCTCCTCATTTTGTTTTTCCCACCACTGGAACCAGTTCAGGGCTTTTTCCTCCATGGCCAGGACAACCAGCTCCACTTTTTCCTGATCGTGCACCTGGTTCAACTTGAAGAAGCGTTCCACTCTAATAATCCAACCATGAACATCAACTCCGTTGAAAAGAGGCAGATCTACCTTCCTTCCCGTCCTCTCAAATCCGCGATTGACACACGTATCACCTGGTTCGTGAGACGAAACTGACGCACTGTGAGAATTACCTCCAGAGTGCGACTCCCTTGTCCGAGTACGTGTACCCGTTCGCTTAGTCGTACGCGACCTCCCCCTGGATCGTCGATGACTCTGGTTGGTCGCGATAAGGCGCAGTTCGGCCATCACTCCATCCAACTTGTCGGAGATCGTGCGCACCTCTGTACAGTTGCGTTCCAGTTTCTGCTCGATGTGGTTTACACTTTGTTCGAGATTCTCAACTCGATGTTCCATTTTTGAACGCGTCAATCTCATTCACAGTCCGCAGGAACGAACCGCTCTGATACCAATGTTAGGAACCAGAATATCACCAAACAGTTTCCGTATTATTAGCAATGGAGATTGAGGAATTCTCAATACTCCAGACTGATTACAGGGAAGATAAAGAGAATAACAACCAAATCTAGAGAAGGAACAAGGAGTTTCTCTCTAGCCAAAGCCCAGCCATTTCTAACTGAATACCAGCCTGCCCTCCCCTATTCCCCTCCCTTCCTTATATTCAGAAATCAAACCAGCACATTAATTACTCCTGCCCCCTCATTCCCCTCCTCACATAAACTCCCGTCCCTTCATTCCCCTCCTCACATAAACTCCTGTCCCTTCATTCCCCTCCTCACATACACTTTATTAAAATACTCTACACCCCTTGTGCTATCACAATACCAAAGAGTCTCCTATATCATAGAGAAGTATGATATGGCAGAAGCAATCATATATTATGCTACCACCACCACCACTACTATTATTATCGTTATTATTATTATTATTATTAGTAGTAGTAGTGGTAGTGGTAGTGGATATTCTATTTTAGTTAGCATTTCTAATAGAAGTACCCTATTAGGTTTAGGGTTACTCTAATACTGAACCATCAAGACTCTTGGACTAGCATAAATAGGGGTGCTCTATCCATTGATAAGATCATTAGTCTTTGGGGTGACAAGTATTATAGTGCGTTCAGTGAAATTGATGAATGCATCCTTTGTAGGGCGGGGAGCTGTGTTATTTTTCCAGTTATATGCTTTACAATCTTATTGTTATCTCCCAATCACGCCCATAACAAAGTACTGAACGGTTTCTAAATTTACAACTAGCTTTGATTCATATTCGAGTGCTTTCCAGATGTGTAATGACTTTGTGTAATTTTTTTGGGGTCATCAGTTAAGTGCTCATAAATAGCAAGGTAATTGATTTGATTCATTCCCTAGTGTTTCTGAGATATCGAAAGATAACTTCCAATAGAATCAAGAGTACCTTTTTAAGTTTTAGCAAGCTAGTTGCTTAGGTTGTTTATTTAGTTGCTTAGGTTGTTAACTTAAATATTTTAGGCTTATGATGCATTGGTAGTTTAGAGGCCAAAGGATCAATAGGCATTTATACCCGTCCTACTGCCCGAATGGTTCCATTCACCCTCTCAATCTAGAAAAGCTCCTATCAAAACCACAAACTATATTTAAACTAGGAATCAGCTATTTTATCTGGTTACTAGCCCATGACATTCAACAGGTAAGTGCCACATAATAGTTGTTTGGATTCCATATGGCAATTTGGGTGTTGACTGAGACATGAATGAGGCCATGACTAGACACTTAAGACTTGTCAGTTGGACTTATTTCAAAGGCTAAAGGGTCAAATAGGCCCTCTAACTAACTTAAAAAGTGCAAATCACCCCTTATATAGGAGGCTCTGTCCGGCCATCGCCATTTGGGGCGGTTCACGGTGGAATTTTTTGATGACATTTTTTTAGAATCGTCTTCATTAAGTCTAGTTTACTCATACCAAATTTCAGATAAAAATTCAATCGGGAAGACAGTCAAATGAATTGTTGAAGATAACAACGCAGTACATTTCAAAAAATCATTTCACTGTCTTCCAGGTTGATTTTTTGTGTAAAATTTGGTATGGGTAAACTAGACTTAATGAAAAAGATGCTCAAAAAGTTTCATCAAAAATTTTCACAGGGAACCGCCCTAAATGGCGGTGTCCGGATAGAGCCTCCTATATAAGGGGTGATTTGCACTTTTTAAGTTAGTTCGAGGGCCTATTTGTCCCTTTAGCCTATTTCAAACCACACCAGAACATACCCGACTTAAAGAAACTAGATCAAATGATAGGGAGCAGGCCAAGGCATCTGGTCAGCAGACAGGCGCGACCGAAGGAGAGCCGGGCCTCAGGCCCTTGATAGTCTACCGGAGGCGGGGACGGACCTGAGCCCACCTTTGTGGGCTGGCTATTTTAGTGGCTTTAACTAATTAATTCCCTAGTTATTTCCTTTTATTATGTTTTCTATTTTATGTTGGTTTCCTAGTATGATTTTATTAGGAGTTCTACCTTAATTAAAACTAGTAGGCTATTTATACCTCTTAATAGGGTTATTCGAACTATGCATTATTATTGAATAAAGTTGGTGTTTAAGATTTAAGCTTGGGCAACGGTTGCTACTGTTGATTGTTATTTTTTCTGCTCTCATCATCAAATCAGACCAAGATTACATAGTAATACAGTATATGTAATATCAAACCAGACCTGACTTAAGTAGATCATTTCAGACTAGAATAATTCAAATCAGACTAGTAAGCATTAGTCCAAGTGAGCAGGTCCTTGTGTTTTCTTCCCTAAAATAAGTCCACGTTCTTCAAGTTATGAGCTCTTATTGTTGCATAGCAATGGAGGAACGCACCAGTGTCTTCTGCACACATTTGACAGCTAACAGAAGTAGAGAACATCTCATTGTTAGGGCTTCTCTAGCAGTGTGTCTGACTCTCCGATCTTCTTCCTTCTATGGTGTCCGTCGATTCATCAGTCTCTGGATGTATTGACAATGCTGGTTCAGTAATCAACTTTTTAAAAATGGCTCAACAATGTCTAATTTTGTTAAACAAAACATTAATTAGAAGGAATCCAGTTGGTGAGGGCTGATGAGGGAACTGGATGGTTTTTGGTTTCAGAATGGGAAGACGATGAGTTAAGGAAAATAGGTTGTGGCTATGGATTAGTCTTTTGAAGATGTCCAGTCAACTGCGTTGTTGGACTTAACTGGCTGAAAACCTACTTTATGGCTGATTGCAAGCTTTAATAAGGTTGATGAGTTCGATTGTAACTTATTTTAGCTGAGGGGTTTAATTGAGCAAATCAGAGGGATAAAGGGGCCTGTTTGACCCTGTAACCTAAATGAAATGCATTTAGAATAGCAGCGCGGTTGAGAAAAATGTCTTCCAGCTTGTTAGTATCCAGAATATTATATTTTACACAGCTGCTTCTCTCAGTTCTCTGTATATATCTGATCTTTATTGTGCCTTGATCCAGCTTGGCCATCTTCCAAACAATCCACCCAGTGCCAGGTCAGCATCATGCCTGTTAGCTAACTACTACGTTTATAATACTAAGTGAAATCACACTTTTTGGTCCCCCTTTTATGTAATGTTGTCCCTGTCTTCTAGTTTTTTCCAAATATGGTCTCTTAATTGTGTAAGATATTGTATATGTAGTCCCTGCCGTAATAATTTAACTAAGTCCGGTTTACAACATGTTGTACAATTGGGGAACGCCGTTTGCATTGCATTTTAACGAAGTTTGCTGCATTATTAATGACGGTCACATTACAATATATTCCACAATTGAAGGGACTGCATTTGCAAAAGTATAACATATTGACTACATTTTGTAATTTGTCATCATCATCATCATCATTTTGTAATTTGTACTGTGGAATAAATGGGGGACCAAAAGTGTGACTTTCCCTATGACTAATTGTGTAGCATTGCATCTGATTAATCACATTTAGCACCAATATGCAGTTTGATTACTCTTCTGAGTTTGCAAGTCGAGTACCAAAAGTGTCACTGATACTATAGTTAGGGGACCAAAAGTGGCAAAAACTCTTAATATATTATAGATCCCGTCATTGGCTCGTAAGTTCATTAAAAGTATGGGTGAACTATATCGTCCTCCCCCGGGATATGGTCATTTCACGAGATGATTAGTTAGTTTTCTGAAAATTATAAGTACACCCTCTGGCAAGTCAAATAAAGCTAACATATTTTAATTTATAAGATGCAAAAGAGATTCAAAATCAGTCCAAGACAATCAATATGTTCTATCAAATTTCTGTGGTAATGGTGTCATATACATAGGGGATATTTGCAATTTCCATAAACTCCAGGAACTACTTTATAGCTTGATCAAGTCATCAAACTATATAACTCCCGAATTGTTCCATTCACCCCCTCAGCTGAATGTGGTTAACCCTAAAATCCGTGCTATAATTTTGTTCCTTCCATCTGTTGATTGAGATATCAACCCTCTGTGTATATAGAGATCCTCATTATTGGTTGCGGGAGGCACATTCAGCAAGTAAACCCCGAGGTTCGAAAGTTTATTCGTTCTACTGGAATGAAATTTGAGGCAGTTGACTCGGTGAGTATATTATGGGCATGTTTTGTTTTTTTTCAATTGATTTGGCAATTTTTAAAATCATCATCATCTTGGGTTGCAGAGAAATGCAGCATCTACTTACAACATTCTAAATGAAGAAGGCAGGATAGTTGCTGCTGCTCTACTCCCCTATGGAGTCCAATCTTAAGGTGCTGTTTGTATGTACTTATATATGCCTTCTGAATTCTTTTTCCTGGGCTGAGGATCTGCTTCGGTGCTGAATGATCAACTACTTTTTCCAATGACACCAAAAGAAAGAGATGGATTTTGAGCAACACGCCCTAATTCCAAGTTTCTCCGACTGCGGTTGTCTGTTTTGAAACATGATATCATACAGTTCTATGTTTGGTATATCCTAGGTAAAGGATTATCAAATACAGTGCTGAATAAGAGGAATTCTTGATCACATTTTCTATGGTTCTAGGCTTCTAGCAATTCACCTGTAGAACATTTTGTTAAAAAAGAATTATGCCAACAGGGTGACTTTTTAAGTTGTTGATTATAAAGATAAAAAAATAAGCAGGGTCACTGAACATAGTCCATGCTGCCATTCCTTAAACAAAGTCTGTTTGAAGTGTATATTAGTATATACTCTGCATTATGCAATGGCATTCAAACACCAGATAATTGCAGTCTTTTATTGGAAGCTTGTGATAACATATACAGAATGCTAGGATTGCTAGGCCATTCTCTGCATATGATTGTGAAAAGGCATGTTTTCTTGGACTTGTTTTAATTTCACATCAGACCAGTTTCGTAATACATAGGAATTGTTTTGCTTTGCTTAACATAAGTAATTTTGCTTAAATTACGCATTTCAAAGCTAAACTAGAAGCTGGCAGAAGTATGCTTTAAACTGGTTTTCACCTTTTCTATCACAACAAATTACTTTAGTTTACCAAACATTAACTTTGACTTTTTAAAATCACTTTTATTCTCCAACAATATCAACTTTTATTATTAATTATTTTTTATTATTATCTATTTTTTATTCAGTAATCACTCCTATAAAATTACAACAAAAACCTGACCAGGCTGAAAAGTAGGGGTTGGCATGGTCTGGGTCGGTACAGGTGATTGAGAAAATTTCAAGAAACGCCGGTTCCACTTAACGGGTAAGTTCGGTCTGAGCATACCAAATCTCAAAATAAGAAACGAATCTTACCCGCCCGGCCACCCCGTTTGATACGGGCTGGTTTGGTTCGAGCTCTCGGTTCTTTTTTTGTAAAAAGATCGGCTATGCTAGCAAAGTTTTTAATAAGTTATAAAATTCTCAAACTAATTAAGTATTAATGTAACCATAATATAGTAAAAATTCCAAATAACATTTTAAATTAATTAACAAAATATCTTACAACAAATATATAAATTGAAAAACACACAGCTACCTAAATTAAAATGTTAATCATTGTTCATAAACTAACGAGAGCACTATAAAATCAGACATTGCTTTTAAATGTACCTCATCAGTCATCATTGTAAGAGAAATTACCGAAGGATTGATCATCTGCAATTTGCAAACATCGATATTTGTGTTTGTGTGTTCTTGCCCTTCATTTTCGCCGCCTCTGTGGGGTGCCTTGCGTTTAAGTGCATTTGCACCGTGCCTCTGTTGTAGCCCCCCGAAGTACCCCATGCACAATATTTGCAGACAATGTTGGTAATGTGCGTACCACTTCCCGTCTGTCGGATCCTTGGCCTTCTCAAGATGATCTACAAAAAGAGAAGATTTTAGTTTAGACTTACATTTTTGAACCGGTTCGTATGAACTTGCGCCTCCTCATTCCTCCTCCTCGTCGGGGGTATCCCCGTCACCTTGTTGATCCTCATGCCCGCCACCTTGGTGCCCCGCATTCCCGCCTCCTCCTCCTCCTCCTTGATCCTCCTCGGTATCATCGTCCTCCAACTCATTTTCAATCTCGGGAAGGTTTTCTTGGTGAAAAAACCGGCCTTGGTTTTTGTTCACGAGTTGTTGAAGTTGCTCATTGGTCATCGCTTCTCTACGGTTATAATCGGTCGTTCAACCATCGTATGATTGGGACGAAGATGTTGCTCCTATCTGTTGTTAACCTTTAGACCGCCCCGACCGCCCCGAGGGATGACCTCTCGCAATCTCCTTTGAACGATTGCGTTGGAGATTCCCTATATCAACGGATTTCCTAGCTTGGTCCATTGTCTTACAAAATGTTACAAAAATTACAATGTCATTATTACTAATAACAAATTAGAAATTACAAAATGTGACTAACTACTAAAATGTGATTACATTGTAACAACAATGATTAAATGCAACAAGTATGGAAAAAATTGTTAAATGATTAAAACGTAATAACAAAGAAAATGTGACTAAGTACTAAAATGCAAGTAGTATTAAATAAAGTGTAGAACTATTAAAATTCAACAACAATTTAAATACAATTAACATGTGAAGAACCGGTTAAATGCTTAAATGTAACAAGTATGGAAAAAATGCTAAATGATTAAAATGTAACAATAACAAAAATGTGACTGAGGACTAAAATGCAAGTGGTATTAAATAAAGTGTAGAGCTATTAAAATTTAAGAACTACAACTTAAATACAATTAAAATGTGAAGAACTAGTTCAATACTTAAATGCAACAAGAATGGAAAAAATGTTAAATGATTAAAATGTAACAACAATGAAAATGTGACTAAGTACTAAAATACAAGTAGTATTAAATAAAGTGTAGAACTATTAAAATTTAACAACTACAATTTAAATACGATTAAAATGTGAAGAACTAGTTAAATACTTAAATGCAACTACTAACAAAAAAATTAAATGATTAAAATGTAACAACAACGAAAATGTGAATAACTATATAGTGTGTGTGTGTGTGTTAAAAAATATATATTTCGTATATATAGGGGTTGGTTCAAATAAAAAGTGATCTCTAGGTGAAAAAAAGAACTAATCTAGGCCTTTAAATTGATAAAATGGAAGGATCAGATCAAATTTTAAAGCTAAAACGTGGTGGCAATATGGTAAATATGTACAACTTTTATTGGCCTCGTCAAAGTAAAAGTGCATCGTTGTGTTGAAAAAGTGCAATACCAGATAATAAAAGTGCATCACGCTACAAAATAAAATAAGAAGTATAAAAGTCGATTTGTGACTTTTATTGAAGTAAAAGTGCATATTTACATATCGTGTATGCACTTTTACTACTCATTCATTAAGTATTGCACACTTGGGTATAGTACTTACCAACGTGAATTTTGATCTACTTCATTCATTTTAAGTGATCAATGACTTAGACCACTTCTTACTTTTCATGGGAAGACCTCTGTGTATTAGAACTCACACCTATATATATATATATATATATATATATATATATATATATATATAGGGGGGGGGGGGGGGAGATCCCATGCAAACCAAGCTTCCGGTGCAAACCTACAAACCAACAACATCCGCTGGATTTAAAATGTGGACGGTTGATGCATGTGGGATGCATTATTGAAACGCTGCACTCAGCCGTATGTGATAAAAACGGATAAGATGATTTGGTTAATTAAAAGGTCATAGAGGTAATTTAATAAAACAAAAACAAAGCCGTCCCATTAAATGATGATGTACTGTAGCAAAATGCGTTCTTTTATTTAGGAAGGTTTGAGATATGAAATCATTGATTTTACCCACACCTCTTATTTAATTAACAGTAAATTAATAACCTTCCATTTTTGAATGATGATTCTAATTAAAGAAGAAAGATATTACTTCATCATTAACTTTCTATTTTTTAGTAATATAAAAGGTACGTTGGAGAGGTCTAAATTGTAGAAGTTAATTTATAGAATGAAATGATTCATAATAAATTATCCATTTTGAAGCACAACGTATTTACTTGAAGTGCATAATAAGGCTATATGATGCGCATATTAAGGTATATATGATGTGCATATTAATGTCATGTGATATGCATATTAAAAATGCAAGATGTGCATTATATTATACATTCATAATATCTACATAACTTATATTAGAAGTATATAGCTATAAAATATGTCGACGTTGCATTTTAGGATTTCATATGTTGCATTATATCATCATGACATGTGCATTTTAAAAGTTCGTACATTGCACTTAAGTAAGATGATATGTGCTCTTTAATAGTTCATACTGCATCTTATCGTTATGACATTTGCATTTTTAGTTCACATGTTGCATTTTATTATTATGACGTGCATTTTGGAAGTCCGTATATTGCACTTTAGTAAGATGATAAGTGCACTTTAATACCCTCCCTGTGCCCCTGTAATTGTCTCATTTTATATAATATGTGTACTTTAGAAGTTCATGTTGCATCTTTCAGTTATGACATCTGCATGTTAATACTTTATATGTTGCATGATTTTATCATTATGACACGTGCATTTTACAAATTCATGCATTGCATTTTAGTAGTAAGATTCCAGGTGCATCGTATGAGACAATTTGCTACATTTTATCGTTATGACATTTGCATTGTATACTCAATTGACATCCATACAAATTTCATGATGACACATTATGCATAATATAAGAGAAACATGTTTTAAACGGTATATTAGTACAAGTGCATAATATAAGAAAGACATGTCACATTATATGAATTTGCATTTTATCATTATGACATGTGCATTTTAGAAGTTTGTGTATTGAAATTTACTAAGATGATATGTGCACTTTAATATTTCATACTGCATCTTATCATTATGATATGTGCATCTTAGAAGTTCTTATACTACACTTTAGTAAGATTAAAAGTGCACCTTAATAAGATGACATGTGCATTTTAAAAGTTCGTATCATGCATCTTATCATTATGATATAGGCACTCCATATTCAAATGACATGGATACACAATTCAAGGGTACAAAATGCATAATATATGAGTACCATGTTCTAAATAGAAAAAAAAAGAATTCACATGACTACCTCATTATTCTATTATATTCATATGACAAAGAAGTAATTTGAGAAGGAGATAACCATGTGAAGAATTTATTAAAAAGAGATATCACTAAATGACAACAAATTTTAGTGAAAACCAAAACAAAAGACCATTTAGGGCAAAAGAATTGCTATGAAAACCAAAACAAAAGAATTAAAAAAATTCGGCGTATCAATTTAACTTTATGCCGGAATCCATGACATTTGAGAACTTATGTTCTCCCTGTGTGCAGAATCCATGGCATTCAAATAGAAAAACATTAATCATATTGTCTTAAATTTGAGATGAAGATGGACATGGAGAGAAGCTTTGATATCCTGGAGTAATCACATATTGATGGACGAACCACGATCGATGGAAAAGCTGGAATGAAAGAAGAAAGGGAAATCGGTGGTTATGGAAATGGAGAAGGATGTGTTGATGGTGATCGTGGCAGGAGAAAGGAAGAAACCGATGCAATCAATTACGGAAAGCCAGGGTGATTATTTTTTCCAAAAATAATATAAATGAAAAAGACCAATAAACCCCTCAATTAAGGAATCAACTTCACGGTAATCTAATCAAAATGGAGGGATGTGATTAGTTTGTAGGTTAGCATGTTAAGTCTAGTTTGTATTTGATCTCTAATATATATATATATATATATATATATATATATATATATATATATATATATATACTCCAACGATAGTATATAATAAAGATCAAATAAGTACAATGCTTAATTAACGTGAGAACATGAGAACACCACATTTACTCCAACGTGTTGCACAATGAAGCTTGTATTGTATATTGCACTTTTCACATTTTCACAATATTTACCAAAATGCCACTGTGTTTATTTACTATAGGCTTAACTCGAGCAAATTGAAAATGTGCAACATAATAACTCCATTGTGCACCACATTGATTTTAATATGAGTGTTCTCACGTTAAGCATCGTTCTCACTAGAACCGCACCACACACACACATATATATTAAATTGTATATATTCTTTAAATATTTCTTGTACATATAAATAAATATATATGTATTTATATCATATAAGTAAATAAATAAACATATATATATTAAAGTATAACAATTACTTAATTATACAAAAAAGTAGGAAGTAATTAACAAAAATGTAGGAATTAGTTAACTACAAATGTATATAATTAAATGTATATATTAAATATGAAAGTGTAGGAGTATATAAGTATAATTGTAATATAATATATTTAATACGAAAGAGTACGAGTAGGAAGGTAGAAATAGAAATTATAAATATTTATATAGTATAATAATTAATAAGTATATAAATATAAGTATAATATGAATATATGAAAGATGAAAGTGTAAATGTGAATAATGTAAAATTAGTGAAAAAAAATAATGTATAATAATGTGAAAAAATGAATAAAATGATTAGGTATATATAGGGAAAAAATTGAAAACCCCCCACCCCCAACCCCCCAAAACCCTTCCCAACAGGCATATAGCCGAGCCGTTCCAAATAGCTAGTTTCACCTAGGGGTGGGATCGGGATGATGCCGATCCCGATTGCCAAAATCCCGATCCCGTCCCGATCCCGATTCAAAATACAAGAGGTTCCCGTATCCTGTCCCGATTAAGTCGGGATCCCGACATTAAAATCCCGATTAAGTCGGGTTCCCGATCAAGAATCCTGCTTAATCCCGACAATGATGTATCAAACATGAAATTATGTAATTTCTTTAATTAAACACCAACTTTGATATTTAGTGGTTTCAATATTATTCTTTGGTCATTAGTATACCATATTATCATCATCCACTTATAAAATTTATGGTCATAATTATCATCTCAAATTCAAAGTAGTACGTACTTTTAGAATAATTTTTATTTATAACTTCAATTAATTAATACTCCGTGGTATAATTTTTGAATAAGCTATCAAGGCTTAGTGAAACTTACTTCAAAAATTATACTAGTATAAAAATTCACTAAAAGAAGGATGTGTAACGTGTATTATTTTAAAATTCAAAACTAAGTAGACTCATTGAGAAACTTTGTGACCCATGAATATAATGTATATGTACATATTATGATTATTTACTAAAGAAAGAAATTTTAGTCTCAGTCATGATTTTTTAAAGAGGTCATCAAAACCGCAAAAATTGTACTATTGTTGTGATTTAGATTGTCGGGATAAAAAATAATCTCTATTTAGTTCGGATCCATAATATTCAGTCTAGGACAAATGCCGAATAGTTTTAGAAGTTTGATATTGTAATATAAAAGAGTAATCTATGTAAGGAATAAGTAAGTAAAAAAGATATGCTAATATTTAGATACATATTCATTTTTTGTAAATGTATATATATATATATATATATATATATATATATATATATATATATTCATATATAATTATATATATGTATATATATAGTATCGGGATGTCGGGATTTTCCCGATCCCGACTTTTTTCAAAAAAAATCCCGGTCATGTTCTGACCTAGTCGGGATTGGTAATATCGGGATCGGGATTGTTGGGATCGGGATCGGGAGTCTGGATTTGGGAAAAAATTCCCACCCCTAGTTTCACCCCCACCCCCACCCCCCGAATTTAAGTTTTAAAACAAATTCTACCCGTTGGGACCGGAAACTGGACCGGGTCCGCCCGGTCCGGTCCTCAAACCCCCTACCCGAGACCGAAATCGCCCCCAGCCGGTCGGGTATCTGGTCCAAGTCCTGGAGTGGAAAACCGGACCCGGTCGAGTCCCGCACAGTAACGGGCCCGATTCCGGTCCCGCACAGAAGCGGGCTCGGTTCCGGCCCGGTCCTAGACCGTTGACCGGGTCCATCCGTAGTGCCACATAACTTAATCACTCTTAATGATTATTATTCACTTGATCAACACAAATCACTCTTAATCTCTTACTCCGTACTTCATATCAAAAAATTTATCAAATTTGATTCTGGTTTTGGCGACTTTGTAAAGCTTTTAATGTAGTTTCTGGATACGTAATTTTTTTTTCTAAAAATAATTTGAATGCGGACAAGGATACGTTTGATCTATCGTCGGTCAAGAATCATAAACCCCAATGGAACAATAATAGGGGACTGAGGGATTAAGCATATCTCCAATGACATTCCCACCCCTTTCTTGCCTATTCCCTGACTTTTTCATGAGGTTGCCCCATACAATAATACATGATAGTACGTATTTGATAAGATATAAAAAAAGGATCGAGATTATTTTGGGAAATAACAAAAATCAGTAAGAAGACTGAAAGGAGCCAGAGTGTAATTTTGTTCATTATTACAATATGACGAAGCTGTAAATCTGTACTGTTGCATGTTGATCAAGATTGGCTAGCTGTACATGAAGTCGAATCCCATTGTATGGCGGTACTTGCCGGTGCCGAGGCAGCGAGAGCAGTCGCTCAGTCCACTTCCACTACAATATCTACACCTGTGAAAAACAGCATAATCTAAGAGTTTTTCACACTAAACATCTACCAACCATTTGGCGGAAGACCGTTTACACCGAATGGTTACTCACCACTCTGGCCACTTTCCTTGTGGAAGCACCTCTAGCTCCACATGATTTGTCCTGCCTACATGTATATACAAGCTCGGTTAGGATTTGTTCACCTATTGACACTAGAGCAGACCATACAAGCAAAAAAGTACCGTATTAAAAATATATACTTCCTTATTTTGATTATTACTTGATTCAGCGTGCAAAGTCAAACCTTGCATGTTTGGTAAATAAGTTGATTGATGAGGCTACTAAACTGAAAATATGGATTACCAAACAGTCTCATACAAATAAGTATTCTCGTAGGGTGAACATATTGACATCTTGTTAATGTCACAATGTGACCGTTTAAGTTGAGATAGGAATATTTTACCCGCACGGGTAGCTCAGTTGGTCGAGTGGTGGGAGATTTGGAACAATGGATCAAGGTTCGAATCCCCGCAGCGACCGGGTGGAGATCACAGAACCTGAAATAAGGTTGGGCCTCTGATGCGCACGGGTGTATAGGCCTACTGCCATTCTGCTGATTGAGTCACCGTGAATAACCTCCCCACCATCCTATCGGGTCAGGGTGGGGGGCTCCTGGGGTGGGAGATTCCACCTTTTAGAACAAAGAAAGATTACTCCGTATTTTGTTTCTCTTATTTTGAGAATTTTCTAAAATTCACGGATAAGATTAAAGAGAGCGTATGACTAGGGTGAAAATTTGTGGAAAAGGACTTGGAGTCATTAGCTATCTTGATACTCGAAACTGGTGCTTTTTTGGGCACAAAAAGAGTATGAAAAGGTAAAAGAGAGAGACCTCTTCCATTACAGCGGGAGCAGTCGACTCTGCCACTCCCTCCACAAACAACACAAGGAGGGTCTGCCTTCTTTCTCCCTTCCATTCCCACCTTACACTACAATTAACCATAACCAACACAAAGTATACACCATAAATATATGTCAGTCAACAAAATCAAAATAGCTTTTTACTCCTAATTTGTGATGTAGTTATAGTTTTTGCAAAAAAAAAATGGTTGTACTAAAAAATGCTCCAGCACTTCTGCTTTCTAGTCTATCGAAATAAATAAGTACAATACACCTTCCAGAAAAGAAAAAGCGATTTCGGAGGTTAGGGTCACCTTTGTTCTTATGATCCACGAAGGTTTGGAAACCGGAAGACGTGGAGTCCGGATCTGTTCTTTCTGAGCAAGCGCGCCGTTGCTTGAGCTGCTGCCAGATTCCGGTCGCCCGCCAGTGAGAGAAAATGTTGCCGCAGCCTTTATCGCTTCCATATTCGCCTCTAAACCCCACCGTCGTATTAGTCCTGTGGGTGGATTTCATTTCACATCTTGGCCTTCGCACATTTTCATAATACCGTGAGTTTATCACAATTTCGTAGGCTCTACTTTCCCACAATTCGACAGAAGAGTCCCCCCCTTGTGCACAACGTCTACACAGACAATTTCACTAAGTTTTATGAAGTAAATTGTTTTTCACCCAAACACAAAAAAGAGATGTCTCTATCACAAACATTTTAGATCAGAATTTTTTCATAAAGTGTCTCGTGATACGGACAATTTTAAACGAGATTTTTAGACGAGAATTTTAAAAAATTTGTGATACGGACAATATTTTAATTTTTGTTTGTGTGAAAATCGATTTTCTTCATAAAATGGCGGTCAAATTATCTGTGTAGCAAGTCAAATTGTTTGTACACAGACAATTTCACCGACGTGTAATCCGGTGTGTAAAAATTGGTGTACAAAGGGAATTTTCCTCGACAGAATTGAACCTACCAATCGAACCTATTGCCGCAGCCTTTTTTGTTAATGCTTATCATCTACTCCCTCCGTTCCAGAAAAATCGTCTCGGTTTGACTTGGATCAGAGTTTAAGAAAGTGAGAATAAAGTGGAAATGTATGCTTGTGGTTGAGTAATAAAAAGATAAATGAATGGTAGCCACACGAACCTTTCCAAAAAGAGAAATGAGAAGAAACTTTTGGAACATCCCAAAAAAGTAAGTGGAAAGAATTTTTTGGGACGAAGGTAGTATGTCATTAATTGATTTTAGAAAGTACGAAGTAATTGAATTGTGTAATTTTATGTCAACAAACATTTGTTAGACTAAAATCATATCAATGCAGCGAAAATAATAGAATCACTAACATCCAGTCATATTGTTGTTGACGGTTGAAGAACGCAGAAGAAGAGTGAAAAGCCTTTTTGTCCTCCACTTCACTCCTCACTATTTAGATGTGTATATTCCTTATGTGAGCTTTTAGCCTATGGAGGAGTAGGAGGAGCATTAAGCATTTATATAGTCACCTACCATCAAGGTTAGGGGTGGGAAAATATACCGAAATTTCGGTATACCGACCATACCATACCGAAAAATACCGAATTTATCGAAATTTTCGGTATACCGAAAAGTTTGGTACGGTATGATACCATACCGGGTCACTTCGGTACAGTAAAGGTATGGATTTTTTAAATTTTCGGTATTTCGGTATATACCGAAATACCGTTAATTTTCGGTATGGTACGGTATATACCGAAATACCGATATATACCGAAATAGAATTTGTAAATTTTTAGGGCCAAACCCATTAAATGAAATTATTATAATACCAAGGCCCAAAATTAAAATAACTCATCTTATAATACTACGACCCTTCTCTAGTTCTCCCAAGTAGAGGCCTAAATCCCTAATCAAATAAATGGGAGAATTTTAGTTTGCACCCCATGTTTTGGGTGATATTTGACTTTGCACCCCATTTTTAAAATCATTAATATATGCACCCCATTATCCCAAAAATTGTGAAGGAGTGGGGTGCAAAGTCAAATAATTTTATAGTGAATTGGGGTCCATACATTAATGATTTTGAAAATAGGGTGCAAACTCAAATATCACTCAAAACATGGGGTGCAAAGTCAAATTCTCCCCAAATAAATCAACGTAGAGTCAAGCAGCTTCTCTTCTCTTCAACGAGTGACAGAGCTGTGGACTATTGAGCATTGATGATGGAGATGCGGACGAGTGACGAAGACGCCATTGACGAAACACGGAGTAGCGGACGACCGTCATTATTTGCTAAAGTTTAACCATCCTAGTAATATGAACAATCTGGTCTATGCGCATTCTATATTTATAAACAAATGATAAAATATATTGATAAAATATTTATACGGCGGACGACCATCATATTACCAAAGTAGAAAAATCTCTTATTTATACGGAGCTGCAACAATGATTCAAAGATTTGTTATTACAAACATTAGTTATCATTGATTTATGTTGGATAAATATTCTAATTTTCATTATGGATTGTGTTGAGACTTGAGATATTAGCACATAATTTTAGTATTTTCTACTTTGGATTAAATATTGTGTTTTAGTTTTGGTATCGGTTTATGTATTGATGTCGTATGCTACTTTTGGCTTGTAAAGTCATTTTTTTGTTCGGTAGGCCCCTTAAGCTAATACTTTATACGGAATTGCCAAGAAATTTATTTATTTTTTGAATTTTCGGTATAAAACGGTATGGGTTACATACCGTACCGAATTTTCGGTATACCGAAATTCAGTATACCGAAAGTTTCGGTATGGTAACGGTATGACATTTACCAATACCGGATTTTCGGTACGGTATGCGGTATGGCGTTGAAATTTCGGTATACCGTACCGAACCAGCCCTAATCAAGGTGGCTCTTGTAACAGTACCATTACAAAATATTTTCATTATTGCACCACTTATGAGACATTATTATTGATTAATTCAAAATAATGTTACAACATTTATATTTTGAACTTCCTTCACATGATCTAAAAACTGTTTAACTAGTGTGTGGTATTTAATATCGTTTGATATTTTACAAAACTGAGTACTAATTATCTAATAAAGATAATTAAATATTACAAAATTAGAATTTTTTATATAATAAGTATCTTAAGTCTTAAACAATGAGTTGTACTGATGTTTATTTGTTTAAGTTAAGTAAATTTTTTTAGATGTTTCTTCTTTTAAATGTTCAATTAAGTATTATATTATGTAAGACTATATATTAATTTTGAAAGTTAAAAATTAAGTGGGACGAACAAACATATATATCTAAATAAAGTATGAACATTTTATGAAAATATTACATATATAATAGAAAATTTTGAAAGTCCATTGGGATCCCCAAAAAGAAAATCCTTCCTTGCTCACCATAAAGATATTGTTTCCTAACCTTTTGCTTGAACTTGGAGATTAAGACTCCCTTTGATGTGGATAAGAAATAATATGTGCTTCTCAACTGAGAACGTATTAACATGACTGTTTGTATGGAACCTCTTTCTCGATGAAGCAGATACATTAGGGTTATTTCTATTATTTTTAATGAAGTCAAAAACTTACTATTTTTTAGTTTGAGAATATGATATAATACAACAAAATGTATCACAAAACTATTTGTGTTTCTTGTTATGAATCATGAGTCACTCTATGCAAATTTCGATGCAGTTTTTAATCATAAATTGTTGGGTATTGGCCCATCTGTTCTTAACCCCAAAATCATGTACCCGCCCATTATCTTATTTCCCTTGTCCGCTCCTCCCTAATCGCGATTGAGCTTCCTTTCTTCCGCCTTTCTTCTGCGATTGAGTTGTGTATCTCCCTGGATGGTAAGTTTCCTTACCTGTTCTTCAAGCTTGAATTGGCTTATATATTCCTCGGTTTCGATTATGGGTGGACGAAAAATCAACCCTTTTTTCTCTCCTTTGTGCGGCTGGCCGGAATTTTTGGCAGAATAGATCGGAGGTCTTGCTACACCTCTTCCCCTTGAGACTATTGTGGAATTATCATCCTTTGTGGATGAAATTGGAGACCTGAGCTGGAACATTACAATGGTATCAGATCCACAAGAGGTCTGCCGCCGCCTCGCCACTGATTGCCACCGCCTCGCCGCCGATCGCCGCCGCATGGAGTTGCCTGCCACCGGTCCAAAAGCTTCCAGCACTCAGAACTGGAGCTCCAGTTGCTGTCCAGCCCTATGCCACCGGATCAGTCAGCTGCCAAGCCGTCCGAGGAGTGTTATCCCCGGTCCAGTCCGCTGCCGCCAGTCAAGTTCGTTGTCGCCGTGTCTACAGCAGCCCCCGCTGCTTACGGTAATTCAGGTAACCCAACCTCAGGCCCACTCAGGTAAATTGGCGATAAACTCTACTTGGTGTACCGAAGTGCCACCAGATTAATTTTCCCCCGTACCCCCGCTGCTGACCTACGTGGTCTAGGACTCCGGCTGTGCCCGGCCCCAGGTACGTTTTCTTAATCTTAATCCTTTGTGTGGTTATTGATTGTTCATTCATTTTAATTTTCAAGTTGAATTGCGATTATTTGCTTGTTTGAATCGTTGATTAATTTTGCCGGTTAAGAATATTTTTTTCAGATATTAATTGTCCGAAGTTGTGAATATTTCTTCCGGTTTAGATGTAATCATGGTTAGATTTAATTGTGATTACTTGTTAGTTGGATCGTGGATTAATTTTCCGATTAAGAATATTTTGTTTGGATACTCGTTGTCCAAAGTTGTGAATATTTCCGTCCGGTTGAAATTTAATCTTGTGTTGATTTTTGATTTTCTGTTTATTGATTCGTGGATAAACTTTCCGGTGAAGAATTAATTGTTTAGATACTAGTTGTCCGAAGTTGTGTATATTTCTATCCAGTTTTGTTTTAATCTTGTTTCATTACGTGTTGATTTAATTCTAGCCTATTTGTGCTTATACGAAAGAACAAGGAGATTGTACCCGAGTTTTGTGCGCTTTGGTCTTCTCGGCTTGTTCGTGCTAGTTGCTTCGTACAATTCATAGCCCTATAGGTTATAATTAATCACTTATTTGTTTGTTGAGTAAATTTAAATTTTATATGTTCTTGTACGAAAGAACAAGGAGATTGTGCCAAGCTTTGTGTTCATTGGTCTTCTCAGCTTGTTCGTGTTAGTTGCTTCGTACTAATCGTAGCTTGATAAATTTTATTTACTCTCTTGCTTGTTGTGTTTGTTTTCATGTTAAGATGGCTGTCAATCAATATGGCATGCTTCCATTTAACGAAAGACAAACTTTGATGTCTTGAAACATAAACTCAAATGCGTGTTGATCCAACAGAAAGTCTATAGAGCTTTGATTGGTCTCTATTTAGACTCAGAGGATGCTGCAATGCGCGTTGGAATGAATGAAACTGCTTGTTCCTCTATATACCTAAACTTTTCTAATTCAGTGCTCAGGAAGGTGGGTATTATAGATTCTGCAAAAGAGTTGTGGGACAAGTTAGATAAGTTGTATACTGATACTTCTTTGCCTGGTAAATTGTTTTTGCTCGAGAAGTTCTATAGATTTAGGCTTGACCTGACTAAAGACATATATGAGAACCTAGATGTGTTTAACAAGCTTATTCAGAACATTAAGCAAGTCGGTGATAAACACATAGATG